CAGCCACACCGGCCTCCTCCTTGTTCTGCAGACACACCAAGCATGCTGCCACCTCAGGGCCTTTGGATGTGCTTGTCCTTTGGCCTGGGATATCTCCCCAGATTTCTACCTGACTTGCTCCGGTATTACCTCAGGTCTCAGCGCATGTGTTGCCTCATCAGAGACCCCTTTCCTCATCACCCTTCTAAAACAGCCCCTCTTCTCGGCAAAGCAAAGTCATGAGGAATGGTAGAGGTTCCTGCCAGGTCATCCCCTGGAGCTGCTGCCTGTGGGACGTGTGCGGACCCCTGGGCCTCATGCCCAGACTTCTTCTCACAGGACCCTCCCTCCCCTGTGATGTCTCCCCCTACAGGTGAGAAGCCCTACAAATGCTCAGTGTGTGAGTCTGCATTCAACCGCAAGGACAAACTGAAGAGACACATGTTGATCCATGAGCCATTCAAGAAATACAAATGTCCCTTCTCGTGAGTAGAGGCTGGCATGGATGTGTGTGGGGGCAGATTCTGCCAGAGCCGGCAGGGCTGAAAGGTGTCCAGGTTGGAGACCGAAGGCCTTCTCTCCTCTCATCCCGTCCTGGATGAGCCTGCCTCGCTCCCCACTGTGCTTTTTTGCCCAGCCCTGAGGGTGGACACGGGTGTCCCTCATGCCTAGAGCCAACAGAGGGGCTGGCAAGAGGGTCCTCAGCTTGGTGAGCTCGCCTGACCAGTGGCTTTTGGTTCTAGGACACACATGGGCTGCAGTAAGGAGTTCAACCGGCCGGACAAGCTGAAGGCCCACATCCTCTCTCACTCTGGTAAGCAGGTCGTTCATGGGCCTGCCAGTTGGGGCCTGATTGGGCCCAAGCCCCAGGAGACAGGCCTGGAGGAGCAGAAAGAACAGACAGATCTATGAGGCTTATTAATCCTGCCTGGTACAGTCCAGCCAGCAGACTTTTGCTCATGTGGACTGTGAGCCATGCCCTGTGTTAGGCTCCTCAGAGAGTACAGAGGTGAATCAGACATAGTCCCCAAGTCTGAAGGGAAGCTGACCTGGGAAGACATAACTACAGAGGTTACTGGTGTACTGGTGTGACAGAGGTGTGGATCAGACATGGACAGAGGGCAGTCTGACCAGGTCCCCTTCAGCAGGCAGTGCAGCAAGGGTGTGGAGGAGGAGTTCACACTCGTCAGGTTCCCAGGAGTTCCATCAGAACAATTTGACTGGCTTTGCAGGTATTGTTTGATCTAGAACAAGGTTTCTCAGCCTTGGCACTATTGACATTTGGGGTTGGTTGACTCTTTGTTGAGGGCTCTCCTGTGCATTGTAGGGTGCTTACCAGCACCTCTGGCCTCTACCCACCAGATGCCAGTACCACTGTCCCTCCAGTTGTGACAACCAAAAATGTCTCAAAGACTCAGAAACCAAACCCACTGCCATTGAGTCAATTCCAACTCATTGTGACCTCCATTGGGTTTCAAGGCAGTATATCTTTACAGAAGTGGATTGCCCCATCTTCCTTCCACTGAGCAGCTAGTTGGTTGGAATCACCAACATTCTGGTTAACAGTCAAATGCCTTAGGCACTGTGCCACAAGAGTGCCTTCAAAATGTCTCTAAAAAGAAATTCATTGCCGTGGAGTCAATTCTGAATCATAGTGACTCCTCCTTGGGTATCTGAGGCAGTATCACTCCGGAAGTAGATCGCGCAATCTTCCTTCCTAGGAGTAGCTGGTGGGTTTGAACCACCAGCCTTCTGGTTAGCAGTCAAGTGCCTTAGGCACTACTCCACCAGAGCTCGAAAACTCAAAAACAAACAAATTCACTGCCATCCAGTTGGATCCAATTCACAGTGACCCCTCCTTGGGTTTATGAGATGGTATCACCCTGGAAGTAGATTGC